GATCCCCGAAATTCGCTTGATAATGCCGTATTTTGGTTTTCACGTTTCGCCAGCATGGGCTGATCAGATGACCTTGAGATTTCAATTCCCACCAGCCAAATCAATGGCTGTGATTGGCTGCAGTGTATTTTAGTATGCTATTTTCTTAACTGTCTCAAGGACGTTCTTATGTTGTATAAATAAACGAGAGTTGTATGCTTGATTGTACTGTGATTGCTGGGTGTTTGTAGAATATACTTCCTACGCTTACAAAGCCTTCTATTCCGATTTTGGGTATTCAAGGTAGCCTCCCTGGAAGCTGGTAAAAGTCTCGTTCGCGTTTATCGACTAAGGTAAACTCGTAATAGCCTCAAGCATACTAAGTGACGAACTTATCAGTTTAGTCTAGTTCATTAAACTTTTTTAAGATGTTCAAGTCTATTTAACTCATTAACATAACATAATATCAATATCTCGTTATAAATCATAATAGTATTTATGGATATTTTATTATAAAAATTGAATTATTGATAACTTGATTTTTGTCAACGTTGATATAGTCATAAACATTATAGCCTAGTGCAAATGTCTTTGCGCCTTAGTTGCTTATAGTACAATAATATAATGTGGTGAAATTGAATAGAGAGATAATCCAATAATCAGTATGTTTCTGGTAGTAATTATCATTGGAAAAATTAAACACTGAGGGTAAGAGTCGAATAGGCAGAATAAGATATATATATATATATATATATGCGCGAAAGCATACTCAGACTCAAGATGTAGGCCAAATTATATCTTAGCTTTTGAAGTGTCTGTGTCATGTTTTTTCTAATTAAATTACTAGATATATTTTCGATCGGATTCGACTTCCAGTTGACTACATGAGGCAGATATATAGGAGAGAAATAAAACGGCTAGTGGTGTAACATACAGATTATATCATGTGAAATTTTAGAAATAGGTTGTATTCCTGTCCCAATGCTTTAATCTGTGTCAATACTAACTGTAATGAAATTTTCATAGTTGATTTCTCATAATTCAGTTTTAAATACAAAATTTAGAAGAACTGGATTTAGTTCCCATACATTCCTTGTATGAACAGCTTGTCCTTCGGGCTCTGCAGTCACATCCTCTGATCTTCAAGACCGCTACCAATCCAGCTTTTCATTCAGATACCACAAAAAGTATCCTTTCATGGTGTAAGCAACCAAAATGTGGCCATCATCCTCCCACCTTTAACATACAGCTTCTCACTTCCGTTCTTTATCATTTCCCTTTTATTTAATGATTTTTTCTCTGTCTACTTTCACTTACGTATATACACACACGTATGTGTTGAGTTCTATGTTGCTTATGACTAACTGGATATACCCTCGACTCAGTTATGATTACATTACTTTTCACTGATTATTTCTACTTATTCTTAAAATCCTTTTATTTTAACATAGATGATGATCAGAATTTTTTTCAAATCTTAGTTTTATTATTGTTCGTCATCTCTTACCGCGGTCAATTTCATGTGCATCTCATTACAATTCTTAGTTATTTAAAAATGTATATCAATTGGTTTATGAATTATGCAAAACTATTTATATTATTATTATTAATTATTATTTTTAACTTATATATCAGGTCACAAGCTCTCATGCTTTTTTAGTTGAACAAAGCTCATATATTTCATTTTCTTCCGTCAATGTGGTTTCACCATAAGTTACTATGATTATATATATATATATATATATATATATCCCTTTTTAAAGTTAGCTCTGGTTACAACAAAATAATATAATATGTTTAGGATTATCTCTAAAAAATATTTGTGTATTTCTTTGTTTAGCTTAACTAAATTCTCATTGTGTTTTTTAAGTTATTTGACTTTTTATCTTATACACAATATCATAAGTCAATGATAATTTATTGTTTAAAAAAAGAAATAGAAAAATTAGTGTTACTGTGAGTTACTATCATGTACATAATTGTTCATTCGAAACGCGCCTATATTTTGAACATTTTTGATTCCAATTTCATAACGATCAATGAATAGACCTTTTAATCAATATTATCAAGTATAATAAAACCATTTCTCAGTCAATAACATGCCATCAGTTTCTGCAATATTATTATGCATGACGTTTTGTGTATTAGCAAACTTTGTACACACGCCACTAAATACATGGTTGAAAATGTCATCCTTCCTTTTTAAAGCAGTTTTCATGAGTGCCCTTAATTCTTTGCTATATTTCGGTAGCTAATATTTTGACAATACATATGTCTATGTGGATTATCCCATAAAACAAATCTTTCTTGAATGTCTGCATTCTGGAGTAATGAATCGGTTTGCTTAGTTTACAACCCTTTTGTCGTCGAAATAACCTTTTCTGTGCTGATTATCTTACAATTTAAACTAATTTGGTTCTCTTTTCCTATTTCTTGTTCATTATTGTCGATCGAGTAACTGCTCGTCTATTTGAAATATTCTGAAGAAAATTATTTTACATTGATTAATTGCTTACTTACGCCTGCTACCCCCAATGAAGCATTGATTAAGTAGTATGAATTGATAATATTTAGACTTTTCGTTCTCAAACAATGAAAAAATGAATCATGTGATTTATTGCACTTCTAACGTAGATTAACTATTCAGTTAATTTAGTTAAAGTATTTCGTTTAAAATAATGAAGCTAGTCAGACGCTAACAGAGATATGTATAGTGCTATTTTTCTTCTAGTAAATTTAAAATGAAATAAAAGATAGTTATAAAATGTATACTTTGAAACAGTTAGTGATTAGTTGGAATATCCCACAATAGCATATGAGTTGAAACAATTATAATATCAATGATAGTGAGAAATACCAAACACTGAAAATATGATCCGACTTGAGATCTAGGGCGAGATAAGCAAAACTCAATCTGTCTGCTCGATTATGATCAATTCTGACGTGGTATTACTCAACATCTCCAATTACCGCTGACAACGTTTATCAAAGTAGCCATTTAATTTGTACCTATTCCTATGGCTTGCTCCAACGACCGATGACACGAAAAATGTGACTAAAAACCAAGTACAAGTATTTTTTCCATGATTCGAAACTATAATAACATTATTTGATTTTTGATAGCCTTAGAGTTGAAGTAAATGTATTAAGACAAGCGATGTAAAATAATTAATATAGTATTTAACACTTAGCCTCGATAAAACTTCGACGCCTAACTAGAGCTCGTGAATGACAGACTAGAGCAAACCAGGCTGGTTTTCCACATGGATGTGGCTGTATAGACCATATATTCACTATTCGTCAGCTCTTGAAACATAGACACACATTTCGACGTCGCACAACAGTAGTATTTCTCGAACTTAAGGCAGCATTTGACTCTGTCAATCGTGAGGTTCTATGGCAGAGTCTGTTATTATTGAAAGGTATACCAAAGAAGTACATTAACGTCATACAAGTTCTCTACTCGAACACTACTGCTCTAGTTACAGCTTATGGCAACTGTCATTGGAATTGATTACTTCGAGTGGTGTTCGTCAACGTTGTCAACTTTGTCCATTCCGATTCAACTTTGTCATTGTTTTCTCGTCTGAATTTTCAGGAATTGAACTTCAACCAAGAAACTCGCTTGTTCACTTAGAATACGCAGATGATATAGTTCTGTTTGGTGAAGACGCTGACAAAATGCAAAGTCTTTTGACCACCTTAAGCAACAAAGCAAGCATGTTCGGGATGCAGTTCTCATACTTGCATCGGCACGTGAACTAGTGATAGAGAGTGAAGTAGTTGAGCGTATTGACCGCCCCACTTATCTGGGGAGTTTCATCAGTGCTGATGGCCTGGTGACTGACAAAATCTCAGCAGGGATACAGAAAGCTCGACTGGCTCTTGCCAACTTGCGTCACTTATTGCGTGGGCGAGATATCGATTTGCTAACCAAAGGGTGAGTCTACAACTGACTGACTGAGTTCTCTCCATCCTAATCTACCGCTATGAAACATTATACCATTACAATCAGAGAATATTAGTAGGCTGGTCGTTTTGATCCTAGTTGTCTCAGAAGCATTGCTCGAATATCCAGGGACCATCGAGTAAGCAATGCTGGTGTTAGAAAACGGGTATCAGGTAGCGATGGCAGATCAATTGACTAAATAGTGGATTTAGTCATAATTGTATATTATTTGGAAACAAAGAACAAGATAAAATAAATTCAATAAATAAATAGACTGATAGTATGTAAATATTTACATATGTTTTCTTGCAGTTTTTTTTCCACCGAAATCACGTTCACATAACAAATCACACTTAGTTAAATGATGTTGAAAATTGTTCGAATAGTCAATGAAATGAAATAAAATTGTTTTACTCTATAGTCATAGATGTTAACTAGGCCCAACATACTTTGTAAGGTATCGATATTAGTTGTCTATTCTAGCCACATCGTAAATTGAGAAACTTTTGAATCAATAATCAGTATGGTATATAACAAGGGCTTAGGATTTGTAATGCCCACTCGCAACATTCTTTAACTTTCTAGAGTCATCGGTGTTCATTTATTTTATTTCGATCATTTGTTGTAAATGGTTAAAATTCTATTGCATGGATATTCTTGGTAGGTTATGTAAGTCTCTTATAAATCGTAGATTTATCATCGTTTGATCGCCGTAATTTATTAAGTGTAAGTCTTTTTGTAGTTGTATATTCACCTTTTGTACATAAGTAACAGTGGATTCTTAGTTCTCTCTTTTAAATCTATATTGCTTAAATTAATCCTTTTATACCTTTCTTTACATGCCCACTTCTTTCATAACCATCTCATTAAAGCGCATACATTTTCGTTAACTATTGATCATCCATGTGTAATTCATCCTAATCATTTGTTTATTCAAGCCTTATAGTAAATTAATTCATTTTATTTATATTGGAGTTATGTTTGTCTTTTTTTTCTCAGAGGTGGAAGCGGGGTTCATAAATATGTTTACTACTAGTTAATACGTTTTCTTTTTACAAAATTCATTATCTAGCGACATTAAGCCGGATAATTTTCTAATGGGTCTGGGTAAACGCGGTAATCTTGTTTATTTAATTGATTTTGGATTGGCGAAAAAATATCGTGACAGTCGAACACGTCAACATATACCATATCGAGAGAATAAAAATCTTACTGGGACAGCTCGATATGCTAGTATCAATACACATTTGGGCATAGGTAAGAGATAAATCATTCTATATGCATTTTTTAGTTTTTTTTTTCGATTTCAAAATCTTCAAACTCTACATAGTTTTTCGAATATTTTTGAACATCATACGAATTCATCGTTTTGTAAATCGGCTTTCAAATAAAATAAGATAATTGCAATTTTCAAAGAAGGAATTAATGAATGCAATAGTTTATTTATTTATGTGTATATAAACTTGTTCGTTCTCAATGGTGCATCATCTTAGCAAATGGCAAAAAGTTTCCATTATTATTATTATTATTATTTCAAACATAACTATTATGTCAGTAATGAATGAATGGAAAAGCTTACCTTTGGCGAATTATGACTTAATTTATTTATTGTTATAAACTATGATATGATAGTTCAAATTTTTGATTAGCACAAACTATTAACACTATATATATATATATATATATATATATATGGTTCGACTTGAAAATGATTTTATACAGGTATTATTGAGGTATCTATTGATGTCGTTTGTGCATATATATACTTACATATGACAGCTATTTCCGTTGAAAAACCTGACAAATAATTCGATAGAAATTTTCTTAATTATTAATTCATGTGAGATATTACAGATAACAATGGTAACACTTGCATGTCAAGGTTATTAATAATCTCATTTTGTCGTACAGCGTATGGTGCGTTAATGAGATGTAGATTTTCCGAATTTTTTTTATCGTATTTCAGATTATAAAAAGCAAGAATGGCATTTGGTTTTCTTCTATGTACGATACATTTTTAATATTGGTTAACCGACAAGCCTGCTGCACATGCACATCACTGCTTTTTGGGCAACACAAGGACTTTCACTTTAGTCGTTTAGTGATCACCCCTGCCCCAATCGGGAAGGTACATGTTGTCCATTTCGGTCTGCAAGCAGGTCGGACGTCCAAAAAGCACGCACACGAACAGTGGCCCCCGTTCGGGCACTTATGAATCAAAAAGATCCCTCCACCAATCCACTGCTCAAAATCCCTGATCGGCATGGGCGACAGGGCGGGCTTACTCAGCCCGACCTAGCACCCTGAACGGATTACCGAGCCACCCAGCAGTCGTTCCTACCGTCTGGCCTCCAACTGCCTTGTGCTGATACAATCGACCGGAGCCCTCAGACCACACATGAAGCTAAAGATCGAGATTGTCTCACAGGGTCGGCCGAAACGTACACACTCCCATGGGGAAGATGTCGTGGACTCAACCAAGTTCAAGGAACTCGGCCAAGCTGGGTTAATCCCACAGAAGTGGGCAGACATCGTTGGCGTCCAGTACCCTTTAGCACTGGATCACATAACCCAACTCGAGACCCTTGTTTAAGGGGTCTCTACGCCAGTTTACACAATATATCGAGATGCAGAGTGTTCGAGATAACCTCAGGGTCGGCGTCAATATTCCAGCACCTCTACGGTTGCTTCCCCAAACAGAACGTCTAAGGCCGCCTTCAATCATCCTGGAAAGCTACATCCCTTTCAAGGTATTCGCTATTACGGAATGATAGAGGGCAAGTCCTCAAACCATTATCGGAATTTACCTACGCTCGATGGACGGGATTAAAACGGCGTTCAGTCCTAATCCCCCAGAGTGGCTAACCGCATCCATAGCCTTGCGACCATGAACACGTACCATTATTCTGGACCATGCTAGGCACGGTATCCTAAATGTTCGGAACGGCTTTTAGCCGCAGCACTGTAAACAACGCCACGTTGCCTGGCAGGACCACGAAGAGGTAGCCGCCACCACAACCCCCAGAAGGCTCCATTTATGCGCGTCACCTAATATACCCATTCAATTAGATGACGAGGCATTTGGCTATTTCATGGTCAACCAACAGGCCTGCTGCACATGCACATCGTTGCATTGATAGGCAACGCAAGGATTCTCACTGTAGCCAACAGTAGTCACCCCTGCCCCAATTGGGAACATACATGTTGTCTAGATTGGACTGCAGACAAGTTGGACATCCGAAAAGTACGCACATGAGCAGTGGCCCCCGCCCGGGGACTTATGAATCAAGAAATCTCTCCAACCAATCCACTACCCATAATCCCCGATCGGCAAGGCGGGCTTACCCAGCTAGACCTGGCAGCCCGAAGCGGATTACCGAGTCACCCAAGCAGTGCACTAACCAGTAGCCTTTCCATCCGTCTGGCCTCCAACCGCCCTGCGCTGGACAATCGACTGGAGTCCTCAAGGCCCCACATGAAGCTAAAGATCGAGTTTGTCCCACAAGGTCAGCTAGAACGTACACCTTTCCATGGCTACCTTAAGAGAGTCATAGTTACTCCCGCCGTAGGATATATTTTCAACTAAGTATTTAGTGAAGTAGTATCCGTCTTCTTCACGTAGTGTGTATGATTACGTTATACGAACTAATGGTTTACTTATGGGTTACTGCGTATAAAATTAAGTCCTATTGCACTCAATCAAATTGTATATATATATATATATATATATATATATATATATATATATATCTGCAATCGCATTATTGGTATATGTAATACGTCATCTCTACTGAGGAAATTGTTTACTGAATGAAATTAAACTGTAGTGAACTTACACATCATAATTCACGTTAAAAAAATGTGTTGAGTAAATTTGCTTCACATTAATTCTGCGTCATAAATGTTATTCATTTTTGAAACCATGAATCGATCAGTGTTAGACCACCATTAGAAACCTGGATACACTGGACGGCCGTTTCGTCCCGGTATGGGACTCATCAGCAGTGCCCATCCACGGCCGTCCAGTGCTTGCAGTTTTCTAATGGTGGTCTAACATTGGTCGATTAATAGTTTCAAAAATGTGTAACTTAACAATCTTCACAACCCCATAAATGTTATTGTTGTGCAAAAAACTGGTCTGTTTATTGACAAGGAATGTATTGTAAATAATTATCACATAAATGTAGTATAGTTACCATTTTAATGATGTCTTGATTGTTTATTTATAATCAGTTTTCTTCAAGAATTTTTTAGTTGCATGGTAAATTTTATGTAGTTTTTAATGTTTTTTTTTCTAAAAAGTTACTAGTGTTATTATTTTAAATCAACTTCTTTTCTCTCTTACCTGATTGTTTGAAATTGTACCTTTTTGCAAATTAGAAACTGTGGTGCATATTAATGATCACAGTTGTTCTACACACCCCACATTAATGTATTTTCATATTTATCAGTAAATATTATTACTAAATTTTGTCTTCTGATAAATAAAACAGAAGGCTACATGTTTTATTAAACTTAGTTAATTATCTACTATACAAAATGTTCACTTTTGATCCAGTTCACAATATTTAACCTGTTAAATCATGTTATATACAAATACGATAATTTCAATTAATTCTCTATGTAACTCAAGTATAATAATAATAGTCAAATGAATGCTTTCATTTGAACTATATTAATATTTAGAAAATTACTATAGGCTCTTATGATTGATTTTTAAGTATTTAATTTTGACAGGAATTTCAAGTGTTCATTTAATGGTGTTCGTAGTTGTATATATATATATATATATATATATACTATTGTTTAGTTTATACTTATTCTTATTTAAATCGTCTATGATTATCATCAATTCAGTGTCTATTGTTTATTCTCTAACTTCAGAACAAGCTCGTCGAGATGATATGGAATCGCTAGGTTATGTGTTAATGTATTTTTTACGTGGTAGTCTTCCATGGCAAGGTTTAAAGGCTGGCACTAAACGTCAAAAATATGAACGAATTAGCGAAAAAAAGATGCAAACACCTGTAGAAGTTTTATGTGAAGGTTATCCAGGTACATTATTTAGAATCGGTATTTTGATTAACTTTCTGAATTAATTCATATTTGAATGGTTAACAAATATACGACATTGAATTTTTGTTGATGTAATATGATTAAAACTAGATTATCTTGAGTGATGTTCCGTAGGCATGAAAGGAATTGTTGTTTTATGGTCTTTCATACAATGAAGAATATTTCTTTTTGGCAGGCCTGAAAAGAAAACTTCATTTGGAGTGTTTTCGGTGACCGTTGGAACTCTGCGTTTGAAGGAAAACGTCGAGAAGCTGTTGACACAGCTCTGCAAAAATAGTTTTAACTTCGTTATATCCGTAATTTTATAGGGTATATCACCAGGGTTCAAATTCCGTGTAGCAGCAAGGCTTGGTGTAATATTTTTAGAATAGACCCTCTCTCACCCTCTTTTATTGTTTGAATTTAACACATCTCTATCGATACTGGTTCTTCGAAGGAAATATCTCTCGAGACAGTTAGGATTACGCTTTCGCCATTGAACCTATGTCACCATTTTCTAGCCAATCTGCCTGTCATGGTAGGGCTTAAAGAAACAAGTTTTCTAGCCACTATAGCTCGATTGAATTATCACGATAAACAAGTTTGACCAGCATGTCAAGATAGTAACCACGTCCAAGTCTTTCTAATAGCCAATGTACAATAAGTTCGAGTTGATTTAATGTTAGTCAGTCATGAACTTAATAAAAAAGAACACAGTGTTTTATTATATTTTCGATAATGATTAGCATTGGATTTGTAGATATGCATTTTTCTACATTACTGAATAGTTTGTTGTATATTAACAAGCTGGGCCACGTGTATTCTAGGTACATATGATTTTAATATTATTTGGTTAGTTATATACATATTAAATTCACACTTGAAACACAGAAGAAAGTCTTGTGGATTAGATAGCTTGTAAATATTCATAACGCTCCTTAGTTTTCTTTACAAATATGCGTTAAACGCATTCCTAAAATACATAGATCGAAACAACATTGACACAAAGAGGGAATTAGTTCGATCTTTATCAACCACTTATGTTGGTTGATGAGACAAGCCTTACGATCCACAGAGCACCATTGGAAGGTGTGGGTTCGTTTTAGGTTTGGCAACATATGCTGATAAAAAGATCTTACTGATTATAAGTAAATTTATTAATTGAATCATTATCTCACTACTCCAGATGTTTTTACATCCCGCCATACACACATATATATCACAACCTTGCTTTAGTGTACTGTTTCCTGTTATGATCAATAAAAATATTTTAGTTGTTGAACTTTTTCTTTAATTCCCATCATAATATCTTGTTTGTTTTTATTTTTTCTCTTAGTTGAAATGGCTGTCTACCTTAACTACTGTCGTGGAATGCGTTTTGATAATGAACCAAATTATTCTTACTTAAGAAATTTATTTCGTGGTCTATTTCAACGTGAAGGTTTTACATATGATTTTATTTTTGATTGGAATCTATTAAAATTTTCTGGCAACGATCAAAATTCCATAACTAACCCTGGTGGTACTGTTAACAATGATCGCAATAACGGTAATGATCATTTGATTACAAATCAACAGCCGTCACAATCACAACAACAAGTCGTCCAGTCTTCTCGACGTGGACATCATCACGATGAAAAAGTTAAATGTATGTATTATTCTGTACTTTTCTTTCTATTAACAATGTATCTATCACTAAAATTTTGTTTTACAGTGATAAAATTAATTGCTCGAGCTCGAGTGTTGTTCACTAGGTTAAATAACTCTTCTGGTTTTAATTTATTTTTATCATAGAAATCCTTGAAATCACACTTTATTAAACGTTTCATGAATTTATCACCTATATGAAAACTTACAAATGCACACGAGTAACGCAAGTGGCATAATCGTATATGATGAAGACTGTGGTATAATACAGAATTCCTTAAAGCCTCATAATTCAAATGTGTTTGGAATATGAATCTGACCTAGGGTACTGAGAAAATTTAGCAAATCAGTTTTGTGAATGTTCATCAATTAAGGTGGTTAAGACTAGTATTATGGATGACAAATTACCGTCTACATTGACATCCAATGTTAACTGGTGTAGGAATCGTCTGCAAGAAAGATTGGTACGGATAAACCAAAACTTGAAATTATTCTATCAAGGTATTAACTGTTTGTCTGATCGCATGCTTTTAAATATGAACCACTTAGTTGAGTTTGCACCAATAACTGGGATCAGTAGTTGGAAACTAAGTGACAGTGATGAAAATTAGTTGTCCTACTCTTAAATTCCATTTTGAATATTATACTTTATACATACACTTACTGTTTAGTTCACGACCAAGCATCCATATTTTAATTTGTTAACTATTATTGATCATTTTATAATCGTACATAAGTCTGAAGACTTGGTTTTGTTTGTTAGTCCAAATCAACCACAAACTATATAGATAACTGAACAATAATAAAAGTATATTTGATTACTTTACAATTTGACTAATATCCTACTTACTATTTTTGAGAAAACTTGCTACTATGTTTACTGGGATTTTCTGTTATGAAGTATCTGATGTAACTATTAACAAATTGTTATCTAAACTCCATTAGGAAATGTACTTTCCATCAAAATAACTGTAATGCAAATTTGACAAATATAGATTCTTTCAAATAGTAGTATTGTAAGAACTGTGATTGGAGATCTTCTAGAATTACTGCCAGTCCCAAGCCCGAATAAAAGAAGAGGGTTGGTTATCAGGTTACAGACCCTATCCCGTAGAAAAGCAACTCGCTAAAAAAAGCGCTAAACAGAAACAATAATTTAAACCATTTAAACTGTGTCCTGAGAGTTGGAAGATATTTTTTAGAAAAATTATAACGCTTTATGATGGAAGCTTAGTTTTTTCAGAAGTTACTTGGTCTATCCGCCTTCTAACAACCAGAGCAACAGTTATTGGAGGTACTTGGAATGTTTTCAAACTATGGGAGACCGGGAGAACTATCCAAGTTGGTAAGAAAATGACAGATACAACTTGGTGATACTTGGAGTTAGTGAAACCCATTAGATGAAGACTGGACAAAAAAGACTAACTTCTAGAGAGATGCTGTTATACTCCGGCCATGGAGAAGATAATGCCTCACATTCACAAGGAGTTGCACTGATGCTGTCCAAACAAGCGCGAAAGGCATTGATAGGATGGGAATATCATGGACCCAGGATCGTCAAATCCTCCGTCAAAATAATAGACGTGATCCAGTACTATTCACCCACCAACGATAACAATGACGACAATAAAGGTCAGTTCTATAAAAGGCTGCAGTCAATCATTGAGAACTGTCCAGCAAATAATTCCAACCTTAGGTTGGAATAGACAACACTGGATACAAAGATAACATGGAGCGATATGAACTGAAAGAGGAGGACAAAAACGGCGAGAGATTCGCAAATCCGTGTGCCTTGAACAAATTGATCATTGGCAGCATCATATACGCTCGCAGATGCATACACAAAGTTACATGGGTTTCATCGTATCACGCTCCGGATGATCAAATAGACCATATCTGCATAAATAAAAAATTCAAAAGGACCATGAACGACGTGAAAACCAAGAAATGGGCTGACATAGCTTCACCATCATCACCTGGTAGTGGCCAAGATGAAACGAACACTAAATATGCACTGGACAACTGGTCGAAAAGGATCACAAAATTTTCATGAGGACTTTCTTTGGGATACTGGAAAACTCAACGAATTCAAGATAACCCTCGGCAATAAGTTTCACGTCTTTCACGATCTACTCATTCTAGAGGAAACCACCATGGAGAACAACTGCAAGGAATTAAACCAGCAATAACGTCGACATGTTATGAGGATCTGCGACAAAAGAAGCATCATCACCAAGAAAGAATCTCTGTTGATAATCTTGAGAGGATGCAAGAAAAGAAGAACAAGAAGGCCGTAATCAATATCAGCCGAACAAGAAACGAGAAGGCCAAGGCACAAGCTGATTGATTACACAGAAGCAAACAAACAAGTGAAGATGAAGATCGGAGATGACAAACGCAAATATGTGGAAGATCTAGCAATGATAGCAGGAAAAGATGCACGCTAATGAAACATGAGGCAACTATATGATGCGATGAAGAAGCTTCCTGGAAGATATCGTAATCACCGACATTGAGGAGCAGCGAAACAGGTGGGTAGAGAACTTTGAGGATCTTTGGGTCGGCCAGTCTCACTGAACCCACCCAACATCGAAGCAACACCCACAGACCTCTCAATCGACGTTAACCCATCAACAATTGAATAGATCAGCGGGACCAGACAACATTCCACCAAATGCACTGAAAACAGACATAGCAGTAAATGCAGAGTTGTTGCATGCTCTACTTAGTAAGATTTGAGAGGAAGAACAAGTACGAACAGAGGGGAATCAGGGACACCTCATCTAGATATCAAAGAAAGGCGATCTCATCAAACTTGAGAACTACAGAGGCATCACTCTACTCTCAATACGAGGAAACGTTCTCAGCAGTGTTGTTGAACAGAATGAAACATTGAGTAGACCCCTAACTTCTAAATCAGCAGGCTGGGTTCTGTAAGGATCGATCGTGTACCGATCGGTTCGCAACACTACGGATCATTGTGGAACAATCAGTTGGATGTAATTCACTACTCTGCATCAACTTCACTGACTACAAGAACGCATTCGATAGCATGGACGGGAAGATACTATGGAGGCTTCTTCGACCATACGACGTGCCTGGGAAGATAGTCAACCTAACACGGAGTTCTTATGATGGGTCGACCTGCAAGATCGTGTATGAAGAACAGCTCACAGACTCATTCCAAGTGAAGACGAGTGTCAGGCAAGGTTGCTTACTCTCACCCTTTCTCTTTCTCCTGATGGTCGACTGGATTATGAAGACGTCAACAAGTGAAGGGAAGCACAGAATGCAGTGGACAGTTCGGATGCAGCTGGATGACTTAGATTTCGCAGATGACCTAGCCCTTCTGTCCCACATACAACAACAGATTCAGGAGAAGACGACGAGTGTAGCAGCAACATCTGAAGCAGTAGGTCTGAACATACACAAGGTATTAGCGAGACATAGATGGGTTAAAGCATGACTGCGTTAGCTGCGCGCTGATTGGCTAATTCTTATCCCATCAGTGCTGGTCGATACTTGGAGTACACTCTAGAAGCTTTTCATGAAAAAATTTAAAGATAATGATGTTGTTCCTATTTCGCCTTCACTCCGGCTTCTTACTTCCATTTAACCTTGCTATGTGGAATATAATCTTTTTTCTGTTCAACCGTGTTCTGATTTGGGGATTGGTCGAGTGGATTGGTGTCTGAGAATACTAAGTGAAAATTATAATACAAAGCGGAAAGCAAGATTCTCCGATGCAATACTGCCTGCATCGACCAAACCACACGTAGCGTCATTGATAAACAAGACTTCTCTGATACAGATGTAACGACGTGTATTATAAAAGCTGCGGCCCCATTTCCTCATTTGAAGATCTGCTATAGACAAATACCAACGTTACGATTTTCAGTACAAACGTCAATTCAGTTCTTTTGTATTGAGAGGAAACTTGAAGTATCACGAAAGCTGTCATCCGTAAGATACAAGTATTTATAAAAAGATGTCTCCGCAAGATATTGAATATCTGTTGGTCAGACACCATCAGCGACAGCCTACTTTGTATTAGAACAGATTGAATTCCTTCTGAGGAAGAAATTAAGAAGAGGCACTGAGGGTGGATAGAATACTCACAGCAAAACTCAGCTAATTGCGTCACGAGGCTAGCCCTAACTTGAAACCATCAGGTTTAAAGGAAGAGAAGGAGTCCAAAGATCACTCCACGTTGAGAATTGGAAACAAACAGCAATCGGATTGAACTGGAGAGGAGTACTTAAAACATAGCAGGTGTACGAATGCTGGTCGACGATTAATACTTCTTTAGAGGTAAGTGGTGTAAGTGAATGTGTTGTTGATTCTCTTTAATTTCATTTCAAGTGTTTTTGGTAAATGTAACTACATGAAATAGTCTCTTTCTTGATAGGGTTTTTTTAAAAATCTTCTTACAGCTCGTAACAAAGGGACATCTGGTAATCCGGGTTATACAGTTCAGCAGATCAGTGCAGCAGTAACTCATAATCCGACCACAACGGCGATTGATTCCCGTACTGGTTTTACGCAACAGGGTATAGGCTCAGTAACCGCTTATCCACGTGGTATGCCACCGTCGTGCCTACCAGCTGCACAAAATATGGTTGCTCAGTCATTACAAGTAATGAGTCTTCAGACACAACCTGGTCAAACATCCAGTACTGTCGCTCATCATCATCTTCAGCAGATTCAGTCGCATCAAACGTCGAATCCGTTAACTGGATATTATAATCAGACGGCACAACAACAGAACATTTCACAATCTCCTCAATTAGGTACATCACAGTTTGCTAATCCTACTTGTCCTAATATGTTTCTTATAAATAATAATACTAATTTAAATAACCCTGGTAACAATCCAATGCAAATGATTGGTGGCTTACAACAGCAGCCTAATTCTAATTTATATCCCTCGATTGATCCAAACTGTATTATACAACATCCATCCCAACAACAACAACAGACTGTACAACAACATCAACAGTCACAAAATGTTTGTTGTCTCCCTGTACAATCACAGCTTCAGTCCGGTATAAATAATAACAGTAGTACTAACCAACAGGTTGCATCCCGTCAAATTGTTCAACCTCATCATCCACAACAAAGTTCATATTTATTAACTCAACCAAATTCAGTTGGTCAAGTGATTGGTGTTGCTAGTAGTGGTAATAACAGCACAACAAATCAAATCCATCACCACCATCAACATTTGAATTCATCTACAACATTTGGTAATCATCCGCATAATCTGTATCATTTACGTCTTCATCCGGAAACATTTTATGTGCCAGCAACAGTTAGTGGGCAAACAAATAATCATAGTAATGAGAATTTCACTTCAACTCCTATGGTATTGCCATCAGGACAAGTTGGTGGTGTTGGTAGTAATGCATTTAGAAAATAATAACAATACAATATCAGTGTTTAATTATATATATGTTAGTATATATATATATATATATATATATATATATATATATATATATATATTTCATGAAATATTAATATATATTTATATTGTTTTGTACGATTTATATAGGTTGTAAATGCTTGTAATCTTATTTCAGTTGAGTATCATGTAACTCAGTGTGTTTTCAACTTTCTCTGTATTTTCTTGTGCTTTACTGTCTCTCATTCTTAACACTACAATTTATACGCAAGACATGCAAATAAAACAATACAAGTGAAACGTATAAAGAAAGAGAAACAGTAAAGCGGTGGAAAATACAGAGAAAGTTGAAAACACACTGAGTTACATGATACTCAACTGAAATAAGATTACAAGCATTTACAACCTATATAAATTGTACAAAACAATATAAATATATATTAACATTTCATGAAATCTATATACTAACATCGATATATACATATATATATATATATATATATATATATACAAATTACCATGCATATTTATTTGCACAGTATCACCATTAGTAATTGATGATGATCTTTTCGTAAGTCTGGCTGAATATCATGTTGTACACATAATTGTGTACATTTTCTTCTATGAAAGGAAACGAATGGTGTATTATCTTGCCTTAAATGTTATTCGTGTGTTTAATTGTTCTAAATTACCACCATTTTTCTTTATTGTACTGCCTATTATTTGCTTACTTCTATACCTCTTTTTTGTTTTAAATTTTATTTGGTATTCCATTCACTCTGATTGTATTTATTATTTCTGATATCCCAATTTATGTTGAGAGAATTTTCAAAATGAAAAGTATTGCGAACTCTGTACTTACTACTTACTGTCTTTGCATATTCTTCAGTCAATGACAGTCAGTCAATAAGTTGATTGAATAATAATTGACTTGTGTGTTCTCCAAAATGAAAAGGAAATGTATTCTTTATTTGTACATATTATTGGTAGTTATGTTGAAATAATAATAATTATTATTACCAATAGTAGTAAAAATACTAGTCTGTTATATGCTTTAGATTTCGTTTGGTTTTTATTTGTTCTTAATTGTTCAACCGATAGCATTCATCTCATGTTTCCAGTTGGCTTAAGCGCTCTATCGTTGACTTGACTCTCTTGTGTTGTGTTTTAGTGATAAAAATCGCATCATGTTATCAGTCCTTCTTCTTGAGAAGATCCAGAAATTATAACTTATTAAAGCATAAGGCTTTCATGTGTGTAATCGGTTAATGGTAATTCTAATGTGATTCATCGACAAAGTACAAATCCGTACACTTGATCAAGAGCTATACTGGATATAAGAATTAGTAATGCTACCCAGATGCTTAAATGTATCAAACTTATAACTGTTTTGTAAGTTGAGTGCCTTAGTTACTAAGTGATCGCTTCGTGTTAGACAAGATTATTTTTCGTGTCATAATAATTAGTTGACAAAAGTTCATGACCTTATCTGATGTGACAGATTAGTGGGATAACGAAATCGAGGTCAGTTAAAATCAGAAGACAGTCTTTACTTCCTGGAATATTTCGAAATCAATGTGTACGAATAGCGAATTGTTGTATGGCAAATTATAATTACAGCTTACATTACGCCGAGAAATAGAGAAAGATATGAGAGGAATGAACAAACATTGGACAGAACTGGAGAGAGAAGCCCAGGACAGAGTTGGTTGGAGAAAACTGGTGGGCGGCCTATGCTCCATTGGGGTTAACAGGCGTAAGTAAATTATAATTAATTTGGATTATAAAATTCTCATTCATTGTAATGAACTCAGCTACATAAACAATCGAAATTCAGGATAGACAATAAGTTCAATAAAACCAGACGGATAAAAAAATGTATCAAATAAGAATTTTTGTCAGTCAGTCAGCAACAACGTAGAATTTCGTACGTACGTACATCAGTCCAAGTTGCCACACTATATTAGAGATAGAAGAAGTATGCGGAGTCATCAGAACGATTAGGGATCGAAGGTAAGATTTGAGAATTATGAGCCAGTGGAATCAATTTCAGAAGAGAAGAAACAGTCATGAGCAATTCAGATGATTAGAATTTGAGAAAATACCTAAAATGTCTATACTTGCACCATCGGCTACTATTGTCTCACGCACCACAACAAGGTAGTCGACATGACTAAGTCGTCCAGTTGTCACTGAATTCGTGGATGTGTCATGTCTGTATTTGGTGGCCCTTAGCTTTCTTCTAACCAATCGGTTCATCACAAAAGATAGCTCGTCGAGGCAGTCGGTGGTTGAAAATTCGTAGCAAATGTCCCAACCATCTCATCTGATAAAAAATCACTATTTAGTCAATTGATCTGCCATCGCTACCTGATACCCGTTTTCTAACACCAGCATTGCTTACTCGATGGTCCCTGGATATTCGAGCAATGCTTCTGAGACAACTAGGATCAAAACGACCAGCCTACTAATATTCTCTGATTGTAATGGTATAATGTTTCATAGCGGTGGATTAGGATGGAGAGAACTCAGTCAGTCAGTTGTAGACTCACCCTTTGGTTAGCAAATCGATATCTCGCCCACGCAATAAGTGACGCAAGTTGGCAAGAGCCAGTCGAGCTTTCTGTATCCCTGCTGAGATTTTGTCAGTCACCAGGCCATCAGCACTGATGAAACTCCCCAGATAAGTGGGGCGGTCAATACGCTCAACTACTTCACTCTCTATCACTAGTTCACGTGCCGATGCAAGTATGAGAACTGCATCCCGAACATGCTTGCTTTGTTGCTTAAGGTGGTCAAAAGACTTTGCATTTTGTCAGCGTCTTCACCAAACAGAACTATATCATCTGCGTATTCTAAGTGAACAAGCGAGTTTCTTGGTTGAAGTTCAATTCCTGAAAATTCAGACGAGAAAACAATGACAAAGTTGAATCGGAATGGACAAAGTTGACAACGTTGACGAACACCACTCGAAGTAATCAATTCCAATGACAGTTGCCATAAGCTGTAACTAGAGCAGTAGTGTTCGAGTAGAGAACTTGTATGACGTTAATGTACTTCTTTGGTACACCTTTCAATAATAACAGACCCTGTGTAGGGTTCGTCACTAGGTACGCTTGAACCTATTACGAGTTTACCTTAGTCGATAAACGCGAACGAGATAATTACCAGCATCCAGATAAGCTACCTTGAACCCCAAGCTGAAGATAAAATGCTTTGTAAGCGTAGAAGTATCTTTTACAAACACCCAGCAATCACAGTACAATCAGGCACTCAACTCTCGTTTATTTATACATCATAGAAACTTCCGTGGGACAGTCATGAAAATAGCATACTTGAATACACAGCAGCCTATCACAGCCACGGATTTTCCTGGTGGGAAATGAGATCTCAAGGTCAACTGATCAGCATATGCTCGCAAACTTGAAATCCAAAATAAGGCATTTAACAAGCGAGATTTGGGGATCTAACATCCCCAACTCTCCTTCCCCCTTGTAATAGCGTGTGCTCCTGGGGTTGACTTCCATCTTGACTGTCGTTCTCCGCTGTCTGAGATGGTACTTTCGGGATCGAAGAACAGCTTGCTGCTGAGTTTTTTCTCGTGGCGGGGCTGCCGGTAGGTTGAAGGTATCAAGCAAGATTTCAAGGGGAATGCTTCCCGATCTTGATGGGCGATCTGGGGCTGGCCGTCTGCGTATCTAATTTCGATGACGTGACCATAATTTATCACCACCTCCTACCTCTACTTCGTAAATAACTCGGCGAACTCTTCTGACCACTCTAGCTTCTGCCCAAGGACCATGGTTTGTTCTATAGTCACGGGTAAACACAGGGCAATCTACTACGTAAACTGATTGTCTTTGCGGCTTTGTTTGTACCGGTGTTGTTGTTGTACCGGAGTCGGATGCATCAGGCTGTGGCTCGTTTTCAGTCAGGATTTCTGCTGGGGACTATTGCTCCGGTAACAACTCATTTCCTGCTGTTCGATAGACGTGTAAGAAATTTTGTAACGCGTCGGCTGGTGCCGCATCCCCTTTTGACTTAATCAAAGGTCTTTTAAACGTATCCACAAACCTTTCCGCCTTCCCCAGTCGATTGCGGGTGGTATGGTGGCGAGCGTAAGTCTGTAATGGCTAATCGTTGACAGATAGTCTGCAATTGGGAAGAGGTGAATTGAGAGCCATTGTCGGATACGACCACATCTAGTTGTTTCATGTCACCATCAAACTTCCTCGACGGCCAACCGTTAGTGACATATTTCATCGTCATCTTGATTATGGGGTCGTTTCTAGAAGCATTTTGTATGTCTATTGCAGACATCGGTAATGTGCGAATCGCGGTTGTCAGATGACATTCCGCATGGTTTTTTACTGACAGAGATGCGATCACCATGTTTTCCTCAGCCGCCACTTGATCATTAATGAGTCGTGACAAAGCGCCTGCTTGACCGAATTGTAGAGTGCGTCGATATTGGATTTCGAAATCATACCCCAAAAGTACCAAGGCCCATCGCTGAAGACGGATTTGCAGAATGGGCTGGAATGCCAGACTTTGAACCAAATACGGCTAACAGAGGCTTGTGATCTGTGAGGAGCGTGAATCTTCGACCGTAGAGAAACTTGTGGAAACGATGAACAGCAAACGCAAGTGCAAGAGCCTCTTTCTTCATCTGGCTGTACTTCTTTTCTGCTGGGGTTAGTGTACGGGATGCATGCGTAACGGCTTTTTCTGACGCGTCTGGAAACTGATGTGAAATAACAGCACCTAGGCCATATGCTGAAGCGTCTGCTGCTACGACGATTGTCATGGATTGGTCGTAGTGTGTTAATAACAATTCCGAGCTGATTATGGACTTGAGTTTACCAAAAGCCGCGCCGCAATCTCTAGTCCAGTCCCATGTGCTATGCTTCTGCAGTAGACAATTCAATGGAGCGCGAATATCATGCATCGATGGAACAAAAACCGAGAAAAGATCGTAATTCGGAAACATTAGTGGGATTGGGCATCAGTTTGATAGCTCGGATGTTTTCAGGATCCGGTCTGCGACCGTCGGCATCAAAGATGAATCCCAAATACT